AAGCAAATAAATTTTCGCGTCACCTAGCTTCGGGTAAGGATAGCATACGGCCTCAAGTTTACAGTAAGTAGTAGCAAGCAGGATGGGCGGGCAATGGCGCGGGCGGCGCAAGGTATGGCCCTGCTTAGAAAGATCCAGCTCAATCACAAAAAAGGCGCTGGAGACATAGTCTTCGTTGCAAACGCGCATCGTCCCCCACCCTTGAAAGGTCCGCCTGCCTTTTGACCAGATAAATTCCATTCTTGGACCTCCCACCTTATCTGCGTATTAATCTTTAAGGAAGAAAACTGGTTGGCGGACCTAATATTTATAGACGATAATGTAAGAAATCCAGCTTAATCAAAGAAGTATCACCTGTATCACCTGTCGTCCCGTTGATCATCGAATTGCTCGAGCGGGCGCCAGCAACGTCTCCATTCGTCCCTGTCGCGTGCAAGAGTTGTCCAGTGGACCCTCCTCGCTCGAGGGACACGTGTCCTTCATTCCTTTCGTTCAGAGCTTTCGTGAAGAAGTCTGACCATCGGGCCGGCGGTCGTCCAGGTGTTCGTTTGACGTCCCGAGGGATCCAGTCGGTAACCGCTCTGGTCCAACGGTCATCGCAAAATCGCATGACGTGTCCGGCCCACCTTATCTTCGATTCCTTGGCGAAAACGGCAGCGTCCCTGATCTTCGATCGTTGGCGTAGTTCGGAACTCCGGATTCCCCTCTGCACTTGCGTGTATAGGGTTACTCCTAGCATCGTCCTCTCGACAGCGCGTTGGATAACGCTGACCGCATGCTCGTCCTGCCTGCGCAGAGTCCAAGTCTCTGAGGCGTAGGTTAGGGCAGGAAGGACAGCGGAATCGAAGAGGTGGGCACGGAGCCGGATGTTCTTCGTCTTCTTCACTACTCCCTCGATGTTCTTATACGCTCCCCAAGCCGCTCGTTTCCTCCTGCTCAGCTCTGGAGCTAGATCGTTCATCATATTGATTTCCCGACCTAGGTACACGTAGCTGGAGCATTCGGTGATGTTCGTTCCGTTGAGCGTGAATGGGGCATCAGGAACCAATCCGTTTCTCATAAAACATCGTCTTCGTTAGGTTCAGCTGCAGACCAACCTTACCACAGGCGCAGTCGAAATCAGCCAGCATTCGCTCCGCTTGCTCGATGTTCGGCGTTATAAGAACGATGTCGTCAGCAAAACGAAGGTGGTGTAGTTGCCGGCCGTCGACCTTCACTCCCATGTCTTCCCATTCCAGTTGACGCATGACGTTCTCGAGAGCGGCGCTGAAGAGTTTGGGCGAGATGGTGTCGCCCTGTCGAACCCCTCTCTTGACGTCGATGATGACCTCCTTGTAGAATGGTGAGATTCTGGTCGTAAAGTTGCTGTAGAGCTCACGAAGAATCTTGATGTACTGAGTAGGGACGCCCTGGTTGCCCAAGGCTTCGATGACCGCTTCTGTCTCCACAGAGTCGAAGGCCTTCTTCAAGTCGATGAACGTGAGACAAAGCGGCATCTTGTACTCTCGTGAAACTTCAATGAGTCTTGTAACCGTGTGGATATGGTCGATCGTGCTGAACCCTCTTCGAAACCCTGCTTGCTCGCATGGCTGTCCTTCATCTAGTATTCTGCCGATCCTGTTAAGGATGACTCGAGTGAATAGCTTGTAGATTACAGACAGCAGGCAGATTGGGCGATAGTTGCCAATGTCGTCCAGGTCTCCCTTCTTGTACAGCAACACGGTCCTGCTGGTTTTCCACGGAGTGGGTACCTTGCATTCCGACAGGTAGCGCGTGAAGAGTCGAGCCAGAGTTTTGATGATAACTGGCGGCGCATTCTTCAGATGTTCCGGTTTGACCCTGTCGAGACCGGGTGCTGTACGATTCTTCACCGACTTGATGGCGTGTCGGACTTCGGAAGAGAGAACTGAGGGGACGACGTATCCATCCTGTTGCAGTTGATAAGTGGGCAGATGGACATGGCTATCGAAGAGATCCGAGTAGAAGTCGTGGATGACTTTCTCCATTGCCCTTCGGGATGCAGTAACTGTTCCATCCGGACGTCGGAGGCAGGTCATCTTGGTCTTGTAGCTGGCAAAGCTTCGGCGGGCATTGCGGATGCTCCTCCCAGCCTCTGCTGCTTCAGCTAATACTGCTGCTCTTCGCTCCTTGAGATCTTCCTTTATCGCCTCTCTGCATAGCTTCGCAAGCTCGGACGTGAGTCGGTGATTGCCTGCAGCTCGTGCGGCTCCACGCTGGCGTATCAGTTCGAGAGTTTCCGGAGACAGACGTCCCTTGGTGACTTTCAAACTCTCTGCCTTCTGCCACAATCGTGAAGATGTTCAACGAGCCGATAGTACTCCTCGTCGATGTTTTCGATGACGGAATCCTCCCATAAGCTGACGAGGGAAGCGAAGTGGATCCCAGTTGATGACTGTCCTGGGGCTTCGCTTCCTGAACTTCGAGGCTCTCTCAACACGCATCGAAAAGTGGAACTTTGCGCGGAGGAGACGATGGTCCGATCCCGTGTAGAACTTCGGAACAACAGCGACGTCGGTCAGGCAAAACCTTCGATTGAAGATGATGTGGTCTATCTCGTTATGGAACTGTCCATCAGGTGACTCCCAAGTCCAACGAAGGTGAGGGGGCTTTTGGAACTGTGAGTTACCATGGATGGTGTTGGTCGACATGATAAACTCCGACAGTCTCTCACCCTGCTCATTCCATTCCATTCCGTGAGTACCGATGTGAAGTTCTTCAGCCGTTCTTCTTCGGGCCAATCTTGCGCGTTGAAGTCGCCGACGATGACCTTGAAGAAGGTATGATCTTCCCTGTAGAACTTCTCCAATTCCATATAAAATGCTTCGTGTTCTTCCTTCGTCGTAGCTGGATGTTGGTGCGTAGGCGACGAAGATTGTCAAAGCAGGAGTTGAACCACATCTTCTCAATCTCAAACGTCCGATTCGGGTCGTAAGGCTTTCGTACGAATCGATGTATGCGTATACGAAGCAGAATGGAAGTATTTGTTTTTTACGCGTGGGGTAGTTCGATTATGGGTATCGTTTCCCTACGCATACAATGAGAGAGCGGTCAAAAAGCGTCCAAATTGCATTGTGCGTATCAAAACAGTCACCAGGCAACTTTCAAAATGCTCTCGTAACCCCCTTCCATCACCAACCTGCTCATTTCCAGTGTTTAAAACGTGCACACCTTTCCACTTTCGATGAACTGCGGACAGTGCATAGTTCTGGTTTCGTTGATCTTCCGCATGACTTTCTCTTCCATTTTCAGGATCTCCTCTTCTCGGCCACCATCTTGATCTTCTGCCTTCAAAACGTAGCTTCAACTCTAATAGAGGCATGGATTTAATGCGTTCGCGACTCGCACGAGCGATGCGAAATACGGCGATTAGGTCGAGCAGGCGATCGAATGAAATGCTCGGAATACATACGTACCCAATTACGCCTAATCAGACATATCTTCTCTTCAATACGCCTATTCGCCCTTTCGCCTGAGTTGCAACTCTGTTTACTGCATGAGAGCCCACTACTGATGAACGAGCTAACCTTGCAAGCGAAGCGTCGATGAGGTGCTGCTATGAGAGCCACTTCGTAAATCACTCCACATCCGCCTTCTCCAAGTTTACGACAAGCCTGAACGATATATTGAAGGAACATCAATTGGAAGGGAGTCCTCACAACGTACGATATATTTTCCATTGATAATTGAGGTTAGTTGAAGGTTGACGTTTGGACGTCCCATGGGGTGAGTATGACTGGTGTGAAAGAATGAATAATGGAACACTGTCATAACGGGTATTTATTTAGCAGTCATCGTGGTGATATGATTGATAACCACGATATTATTGTGCACCATCACCCAAAGTAATTACTGTAACTCGCTCAAATAGCTATCGAACGGAGGCAACTTGATTATCAACGGGGGCAGCGTTCATTAGTTCACGCCTTTTGCGATATACTCGAGATCCGTAAGTTGGGGTAGGCGTGTCACCGGAAGTGACGTGTACTTGATAGAATCTATGTGGATAAGGTGCTTCCAATATACATCGCGAGATATCAGCAAAGCATGCTGGCAACGACTTACCTACGCAACTTCTATCAAGTCCACGTCACTTCCGGTGACACGCCTACCCCAACTTACGGATCTCGACTGTACGTGATTAGGCTATTAGGAAAAAGGCTACATATCAGATAGACGAGTGGACGAAGGGAATATTGAAACGACGTGTCTTTGCCTGTTCGCCTAATCGCCCAATTGTACGTATTATTTTCTGGTTTGAAACAATCCTGATCCCATTAGAGGGATAAAGTATAGAGATTCGGCGTGACACAAACCGAGTTGTTGGGATGCGCACGCATGTTCTACTTCTATTCAGAATAGCAGTGGCAATTTGAATGTGATGCGATTGGGCCCATATATATGACCTGCGCGGGACAAGGCACTTTCATACTTTCAAAAGTCTGATACCAACTAACCGATCCCAAAGGGATGGAAGGCCTGGTTGGTCCGGACGTCGCACAGCCCAGGTTTTGATCCCCGGAACACGCGATACCAGTCGTAAAGTGCACCACTTGTCACTACACCATCCCCCCCCTCCCTAATAGCACACGCGATCGCAAACTACATACGAACGCTGCCTACCCTTCAGTGTCGACTGGATGACAATACGAAGACAAACTTGATCACTGTATTCCACCACTTTACGGGCTTGAAACATCTAAGGCTGCCTACGATTCCAGGTGAAAGCCGGACGTGCGGTTCACGGCTCATCAGAGGCACTCAATCGTGCGCTATGGTTATCATTTTATCTTAGCGTACTGGCCAACAGAATGATGTCAATGTGCATAACTGGCTAAGCCACAAAAGAAGCCGAAGTGCATTATCTGGTGATGCTGATGCATGGTGAGAATCTTTGTTCGAGATTTCAACCAACCGAGGTAGTTCCCTCATAGAAATACGACTGAAGCAGCAGTATAGACACTGCAGAAGAAGCTTACTTTTGCTCTGACCCTCTGTTCCGTCAGGAGAAGAGCGTCGAGTGCAGACTACACACTACAAATGACAATGGCCAAAAAAGAAAAGGAAGAGCAATTTTTTCTTGGCCGTACTCCACTTGTATGGCCAAGCGTTCTCCGAAATAGAGGGCACATCAGCGCTTGCCCTCTATTTCGGATAAAGCATAAGCAAGAAAACGTCACATAAATCTTTTTTGTAACCGGAAAGGCTGACTGGCTCTCTGTCAGTAGGAAAGACCAACTAAGAGATGATGTATTAGGCCATTGCAGGACGATTCGACATAAAACAGCTGTCAAGACCAAAAAGAAGCCAGGTTGTGCTCCAAAGTTTCCAAACTCCAGGAAGACCCTCGCACTTGACACGCTTTTTAAGAAGGGAGGGTAAGTTCATCGATAGCAAGCTGAGGCTATTGAGGTTCGCGAATGTTACTGGAGGTGCTTGTGGTACTCCATCGAAGTATGAAGTAAAGCAAGCTGAAGAGACCGCCATGATCACCTTTAAAGCGTTTGCTACGTCGTTTTCAGGGTGGGGTAAGCGTAAGGGATAGAGCAGGGTTGACCGTCGCGTTGGACAAGTTCCAATATCAGCACGACTTTCCCAGAGGCGTGTTTCCACACGCGTGTTCTATACATATGTGCCCATGGGAACGTACGCTGTCTCGCTTGGAAGGTTTAATCTACTGCACATTTTCAATTCCAAAACGTACGTAGAGAGGACGGGGTAGCGAAGATGGGCACTTGGAACTGCGAAATTTTCAAAATTTTCAGAAGCTCCCCTACTTCCAAAAATTGTTCTATACATATATGATTTAGAATGACCAATTCGCCAAATGGAAGATCCCTTTCTTAATACTCTCTCGCTGAACTGTCCGAGGAAGGCCTCAGGTGGAGGTACGCGAGTAACATAAGCCCCTAGCGTTCTGTCGAATGCCTTCTCGTTACAGCCGGTGCTCGCCCAATTTTGCTTAAAACCAGCCCGCTTCACTAACAAAACAGAGCTCATGGAGTGCGCCCTCAGAGCACGAATAATGGCTGAATGTACGGCTCTTCTAAAAAGAAACTGCGAAAACCAAGAAACCCAATTGATTAGCATAGTGAGAAGGATGAAAAGTTTCTCAAAGGGTGTACCCTGGTACTCTCTTTTAAAGACGACATATCACATTCATGATAGGAGTCACTTTTCAACGCGTCACACCTCCATTTCTTCTTTACTATTCCAATATATAATTGAAACTACAAAACAGATCAAGCATCAATTGTTCGAGGGCTCAGAAGACCTCGAAATGACCCAAAATTCAAAAGCTGATGGCAGTAGATCTGTGAGATAGAGAGTGCAAAGCACAAGTTTTACGTAGTGACCAGGCGAGTGGATTGTGTAAGGACATGCTTTGGTCCCATACAAGGATCTCCTAATCTTCAGAGTCGGTCGAAAGGACATGCGTGCGGGAAATCCGCAAGCATTTTACGACCAGCTTAGTTGGAAGGGCGGAGTCATCAGAGACAAATCGTGATCCGTAGCGACGATCTCCAGAGTTTCTCAAAGCAGGTTCTCAGGGTATTGTACAATCAGAGATTAATCAATGAATATTCCGAAAGGGCTATCTTGCAGTAGCGATTCATAAGCTTCGCAACGGAAACGGCTCTTGAAGTTCAGGTCCGATATTCGCTTCCCGCGCAAAAGACCAATGTAAATGTTATCCCAAATGGATCAGATAATTCTTACCGTACTCGGCACTGAGAAGGTAAAACACATGACCATCAAACGCTGGCACCCAAATTCATCTCAAAGGCGAAATCGCCAATCCATTTGTAATATAAATTTTCCGAATATAACTAAAATATACCTGTGCATTCCCAGCTGATCCATTTAAATGCTTTGTCCGTTATTACGCTTTTGAAGCTATTTTTCTATTCCCTAACCCATTGATTCCACTTATGCTTTCATTCTGGGCAACATTAACCAATTACTGATCGCACCCAAGGGAAGGGTTACTCCCTATGCCTGCACAAATTACCACTATTTGAGAAACATTTCTGCATAGCCGCTCAGGTCATCCGCTTAGGCCCTTCTCCAACTCTGTTTGGAGCCCAATAAACCGGTGGTGCAACTTTCAAAAAATCTTTTGACTGAGCAAAACACATGCCAGAATAAAGGCCAAAATTTCAGTGAGTTCCCTGTTCTCTAATAAAGAATGGAAAGATATTTTCGCATGCAGTGAGAACGACATTCCTTTAGGAATACATTACTCAATATCTCAATTGCTGCTTTGAGGAGGCCTTTAAAATGTTCCAAAAATCCAGGCCTCGAGCTTTGAACACTTCTATGCAATCTCACAAACATCGTAATGACTCCTGAGAAGTGTGGCCGAAACTTCGGTGTTCGACTAGCTGGCCCCACGAAATATGCAAATCCCAAAAAAGGAGCGAGCTATCGCCATTTCCGCGCCGCATTGTTCGCCTCATATTGCCTTGCACTTAATCCTTCTGAACCTGCGTTTAAGAATGCGATTTTCCCCAGCAGTGGAGGGAAAAGTTTCGTAATTTGCAGATCCTATAGACGACATTGTAAACCAGCTGATTGATAAGCCGAAATTATGAAGAAAAGTAAGTAAATATCAAGAGTCGCTTTCAAGTTCGCCAATTGAAAAAGTTCGAATATCGAGAGGTATTTCGCACGTTTACTCAGGACTTAAGTATATGGCGTGGGAGAAAGGAACCGAGCGTCACAGCCCAATCATGCCGAAGTATAAGTCCGCCGAAAGAAGAAATCCTTCCGATGCAGCTTTGAAAGTACAGTTCTAGTGCTCTCACTTGGTCTTTACCATTGACCGAAGTTCGCCAAATGCGATCACTACTACACCTCAAACATTTAAACCCAGATCCGTAAACATTCATTTCAGCACACGTAGACCTTCGTAATCTCTCAGTTCTGCTTTTTCTCTTCCGTAAACCTTATTCGTTTCCTCTAAATTCTAACGACACACTCTTTCAACTGCGGACACCCTTAAAAGGCAAGGACATTTCAACAAGATCACGAGGGAAAAAATCGATATTTAAGGAAAAATGTCAACCTAGTATTCCGAAAACCCCGGAGCGCTCAAGAGTGCGAAACTGCAGAACGCGCAACAATAATTTGCCAAGGAGGAGGTTGACCTTGTTCTCTTAAATGATCTATCGAGGTAAATCACGCACGCGCTTGATCAGTATGCACGACAAAAACCTGAGTCACTGATGCACTCGGCGAGAGCAGGTCTATTACTGCGAATGTTGATCAGATAGGTGTTGAAGCGGGTTATCGTTGGAGCGGCACACGAATCGATAGTCGCATATATCAAATAGAGCTCAAATCAAAGAGCAGGAGGTGTCAATATTCCATCTAAGTCTCTAGCGCCCGTTCGAGCTATGGTTTACCTTCTAATTAGTGAGCCACACTCACCCCATCGCTAACTGTACATCTGTTAAAATGGGTTCGTGTGCACTAAGTCGAGGAATTCCTGAAACCTATTAAACAACATAAAACGATGGCGAAATGCGCCACAAGCGGGCGAACAGAACTATTCTTTTGTTTTTGAATGTTTCTAGCAATCTTAATATACCCAATAATATATACTCTCAGCAATGTGGAATAACATATCTTCCCAGGACCTGGACGGCTGGATTTTTGACAAACCTACAATAAATTTTACATACATTTTGTCTTAATTTACATAAGTTTACTATTTGATGGGTGGCTTACCCATGGTTCGCACGTCCCGAGACCCTTCCCCTAAATATAGCCACATCCTTGCTTCGGTTGTTTCGCATTTTCGAGATAAATGTCACCCCATTCCTTCTTGCACCAGCTAGTTTAGAGTGAACTCGGCTACGAACTTGCGGCTCAACTCCTAATGCGTCGTCAACGGAAACCTTTTCCGGATGATTGAGATCCGACCCCATAATCTTAAAACACGCTTTTATCCGCTGAGGCTGTCAACATAAGCCTACATAAATCCGCTCTACACTGGGTGGCGGCGTGGGCGCTCACCATGGGGCTTCAAAACAAACAAAATAACACTGCCGTCACCACTTAGGGTTACAGGTCTCCTTTGGTTGTTGGATTGGCTCTTAATCTTCAGCCGTTCCTCTGTAGGCACACCATGAGGTTTCTTTCCTCTTCTCCAGCTTCACTTCCCCTAAACCGGTTTACTTGATTGAGTGTCCACTTGTGCTTTACATATACTACGCGAAGGTATTTGATTGTAAATGAGACTATGCTAATGTAGCGAGCTGCCAGTGAGCCTCCGCACCCATAGAACTCTTGAGATTTCGAGCTACGCGTCGAAGAAAATTCGAGACTTCTTTTGGCGTTGGCGTTTCGCATACCCCCAGAGCACATCCCCGTAGCACGTAACCGTTCATATACCTGGACAGGTCCAGCCGTCGCGTTCCTAAATCTCATCTAGTGTAAAAATTGCCGTTCATGGAATAAGGTATTGGTGTGCGTCTTGACGGCGTGGAAAATCGTTGAGTTGTGCAGAGTTCACTCTAACCACAGCACTGTAAATAACCAAACCCCTCCAGCCCCCCCCACCAAGAAGAACACACGCCACCTCCCAGTAGTCAAAAGTTTCGGTACCTTGAGCAATAAGTAAACAATCCAATTTTTCGATTGGAAATAAATTTGGGTGAGCGGGGTGGATGGGGGCTTAAGCTTTCACACGAAAATGTGGCTTGTGCAACCGCGATCCCTGGCTCAGATATTTTTGCTTATCATCGGATCCCGCTGCACCAAGTGAATTAGAAGCCGTATAATCTACTCATGGTCAGTGGATAAGTATACTTTGCTTCCAAAACAGATGTGCGTCGAGTGCAGACCATCCACTACAAGCGAACGACCGGCTCCAAGAAATCTGATATCAACAAAATATTCGTTACGTGATGCTGGATAGTTTCTATAGACTTTCTAAATAAGTGCAATATTAATCGGCTAATCACGTTCATTGCAAGAGAATATCTATTATATCTTTGTAAAAAAGAACCGTCCGCTCCATTGTGGTGTGTGCTGCATCCGAAACGAGCATCTGTGGCGTGAGAGCAAAGTCTGTACAGTTCGAGCGTCAATAACAATCCATATCGCGGACCCAATGAAATACTGCGAATGAGCGCTCATTGCTCGCGTTGTTTTCTTCAAGTAGCAGCCTTAAAAGCCTTATTTTGCGAACGACAGAAAACACATGACCACCTTGATCTGAGAACAATTGACACACCAAGTTGTTGCAGTTATTAAATAGGATTTTTAACTCGAGTCATTCGAGCTCTTGATATTTCCACATTTCATCCATTGCCCGCACTTTGTCCCCACCTCCTCGATCCTCTAGATCATTGGAAAAATCTCTATTTCAGACAGCCTCCTATCCATCGCCGCTTGATCGCCCGATTGAGCCGCTCTATGAATTCGATTGGAATTCAAATGACGGAAGGGTGTCTGCCCAACCGTCTAATGTTCCCATATCATACAATACTAACAAAGCCTTTCAGGTAATATAGTATTTGTAGATGGGTTAGATTAAGAGTCAGCCCCTTAATGAACTAAACCCTCACCGCCACATCGTCACGCTCACCTAGTCGACGATGTTCCGTCGACGACTCCATCGCTTTTCTGCCGGATTCCCCAGAATCGTCCGATTCACAAGCTTCTCTTCGTCGAACTCAGTCCACTGCAGCGATCTGTGGAACTCGCCAGACTCGTTACTCTTGACAGGCGGAGCGCTCCTAGAGTTCACCTGGCGAATGGGTCCGTCTTCTAGTGGGTACTTACAAGGTATGCACTTTAGTAACTCCGACACGTGCTATTGACGAGAACGTACAATGACTCAAAGCAAAACCCCGTGCATCGAACGCCCGAGCTGATCTACCTACCAGTACTAAAATCAACTCACAGCTCCTGCCCGCGAAAAAGCGTAGAATTGCGCCATTACGGGCCTCTATGAACCTTAAACGCGCCTGCCACCGAAATTTCAAAGAAAGACCGGCCCGTCAAGCAACGCATCACCAACCCAACTCTCGTCGTCAGCTCGCTGTAGGGCGCTTCTGAACGCGTGTGATCGTATTGCCGTTGCTTTATCTTCTCCATTATGACCGCCTGTACCTGCGCATCGTAACACATCCACATTGTTGAGGGGAGCCGTTATTGTTCAGCGAATCAAAAGACTTCTCTTAGTCTTCGTCAATCCTTGAAACGTCCACTGCCCAAGCTCAGTTTATTTATCCTTCCCACCAGTATGTCGGAGCCCAATCAACTCCATTTAGTAGTCGATAGCAAGTCCAATGCTAGGGAGCAGTCAACATGTGCCTCCACATGCATAGAAATGTCCGACAGGGGCGCAGAATCTGCGAAGAATAAGTTTCAAACAGCTTACAAATTTTTCCCGTTACACAACCTAAATACTACTGTTTCACTTAACCTCTTAATCAAATGGCTCGACTACCCCCCTTTGGTCCAATGAAGAAAATCCTCTTCTCTATTTGATACCCAGCTTTAGCGCACCCGCGACGACGGATCAGCGCCACACATAAGAGATAACAATAGGATGACCATAAAATAACAGAGAAGGAGTCCCAGTCGCTTCTGAACTAATCATCGATCTGTTTGAGACGGTTTGCTCGTTTGTCTTCCCGGGAAAAGAAAGGAGAATGGATGATGTCTGGAAAATTCACGACAGAATCCGGAAAGCAGAAAATCATCGAGTATATTCGGAAGGTAAGCTCCACAGAATTTTCATACTAGGCTAGAAGGTTCTATATGAAATTTCAATCAGAGAATAGTTTCTATGAAATTTATAGTTGATAAAGGAATCTTCCACGGAAAAAGCTCCGCCTCCATTACCACAGAAAAACGATACCCCTTAGGCCCCTAGCCTCATGAGCATAGCAAAAAGAACGGAACATAAGCGTTAGTTTCGATAATACTAATCCTACACACAAGACAAAATGATCACTCTTTCCGTGGAAGATTCCTTTAAGGTATCGTTTTCTGTGGTAATGAGGGCGGAGCTTTTTCCGTGGAAGATTCCTTTAATGTAAAATTCAGCATTGGACGGACCAAACAAGAACCAAGTTTGCCGTCGAGCACGTATGTGCTGTTCCTCTACCCGGCATCACAAGACATAAGGTAGGACTACGGTAACTTCCATGCTCTGGCTGACCTTTCTCAAGGAAGTCGTTCCAAAAAACAAAAGTCCTTTAGTATCGGTCCGTCAGGTCTTTGCTTGGAATATCCGAACAACAATGAAATAGGAGGAAGCCAATGCGAGAATGCATAGTAGCGCGATAAGAAAGCCCGGAACTCAAGCAGGCTACCCATCGTTCCCTTGACGAGTATACGGGTACGGTAGGACGAAGCGACACAACGTGGCGAGAAGAGGGAATATATGAGAGAGCATACATGCGAGAGAAAGCAGGCAACGCGCGTGTTGCGCGCGAGCAAGTGGAAGCGATAGCACCGGTCAAGGCAAGGCCTTAGCGCCGTTGTCGCCCACTTTCAAGTCACAACAGCGTCACGACCCCTGGTCTACAAATCCTGCTAACCCTTTTACGGGAAGAATTGGTTTATGGATCCATCGCGAGCCGTGCCTTAAAACGCAAGATCCGAGCTTAGCCTCACTGAAGTAGTCGCTCCCAGTGTGATCTGACGCTGCAAAGGTCGTACAGCGATCGTACATCGAAACGCGTCGCTAAGCTGCTTGGCGCTAAGGACTTTGATCATATCCCACCAAGTGTCAGAACCCGCCCAGCATTCGATATCTTATCTGCGTCGAAATGTTGATTTGCTACGCTCTCTTCACCGGGATTTCTCCAACCCTCTCAGCGGCCACACTCTCATTTCCCCACCTGCCTGTCAGACTCCTCCGCTGAGCAGAGCAACGACGCGCGCGCTTTTCGCGTTTTTTTTTTTTTTCTCCATTTGCAATCCACTTCGCCTTTCGCGTCCCCACTCTCAGATTCTGAGGGAATTGCCATATCAGTTTAATCCTAAACCTTGTCTTCAAAGTAGAGCGTGTGTGATGGAGACAGCAGCCAGGAGTAAGGAGACCGGCATCTCGCACAAATGCACGTACTACAGAGCTAGCCGCCCCGCAATCGCGCGCGCTTCTGCTACTTCCACTTCCACTACTCGTTCTAAGATTTTCATTGGGAATTTCTGGTATTCTTTTCAGTATGCAGTGACGTTCCACGCGGGTCGTTATTCTTCAACGATTTACTTCTCAGTCGACGTCTCCACCGTGTACATTAAGAGACCGGTCGATGTGACGTTCACTCTTCCAGATTCGAAAAGAGCTCACAAGTCGGTATCCTTCAACAAACAATAAATTCGGGACATGGGTCAAGCGGTACCATACGGCATCACGCGAGCGACGCGATCGCTCCTCCTAAGGACGAACACACGGACTCATCGCGCGCTCTGCGTGGTTCCTTTTGATGTACCTCCTGACACAACACTTATCAATACCTTCTCTTCATTTTTTCTTGTTGATCTGTTGCAGGCTTGACACACCACGAACACATTTTGAGGAATTCCTACGGACAATATATCCATACGGAAGAGAAAAATGATGGTCTGCACCTAATTATGGACTTCAGCATTGTGGTCCGCACGAGAGAAGCATTATTACCGATCGAATGTTCCTTGTTCCGCCCGCAATTTATCTATTCCTCTATAAATAAAGCAGTAACGTAAATTATGTGTGTCTATCTTGTAATGCCAAATGGCTGTTCACTCACAGGGCTCGAAGAAAAAGAAATGACGGGCACAAGGTTCAGGAGAAAGCGACAAGTTTTACCTTCAGAGGCGTGCCTTTTAGAAATAGAGTTAGCCTAAAGGTGGGTACGGTAGCTGGGCAAATTGCACATCTTCGATATTAGACACTGGCGTCATACAGACGGTTCCGAATCAGACGACGTCTTAGGTTATCAGATAGGACCTCCACGATGCCACCGTTTTGCCAGACCAGATACGAACCGTTATTTGGCCTAATCGGTGAGGGAGACCACCGCGAAATTGGCTGGGACTGCTTACAATGTCTCCTGGTCCGATTTAGTGAGGATGATTGGCATCGGTGAATACCTAACCACTACTCCCAAAATGAGTTTTTTTTCTGAGTCAAGACTTCAAACGACACGGATAGGTCGCGCTTATTCACCACTTTAAGTTGCCACAGAGTCCAGAACCATAAGGAGACGATTTTGGCGTCACGGAGAGGTCCTGGCTCAAGATACTCGAATTGCTGCACCCAAGTCTCTCGAGGGTTTTTAATTCCATGTCAGGAGTCCTGAAAATCAAACCGGAGGAAGAATCACATGTCCAATTACGCTTAACCGGGTTCCTCTATAAGACTGGTTTTCTAAGCGGTGCTCCGAATACAGTTCACCCAAGACCGCTATACTGTGCTCGGTGGATCGGACAATGTACCGTGTTTTACTTTCCTGGCGCTTACGTGGTTTCATACTCATGTTATTTGATTTTGTGACCCCAATGATTGTTTCTGATAATTCTCCATACAGGTCATTCAATTTCTAGGAGGTGTAGCCTGACATGTTGAGTGACATCATGCCAAGGCAACACCTCAGCACTTTTTCCGAGGGAGTCGCTTCGTCTTTTTCCATTTCACGATACGATAGCATTTTTGAGCTTTTAATCTTACTAGAACAATACCATTTACGAGTCCGCCTTCTTAGGGCTTCACCTTTTTTTCCGACGCGGAAGAGAGAAAAAGCCATACAAGAACTACCCGCCCAAACACTATTTCACCCAGGACAAGGATCCTTCCACAAGATGTAAACATAAACTACTAAAGCGACGTCATGAATTAACGAGAATGAGAACTGACCCTTAAAGGTACTTACCAGAGAAGTCCACCTGCACCCAGCTAGTACACTGGTGTGCAAAACTTAAGGACCGAAGTAACTTTCACATGATATATCACTGCTACTAACCTAGGTCGATCAAATTTGGCACATACATAGAAGTAAATGTTGCGATACAGTGCAGAGAGTTACTAGCAGAAAAGCGCGACGGAGCGATTGGATTTCCTTCAAATACCCTCTCTGGAGCGGTCGATGGGTGAGGCTACTCCAAAACAATGGTAGACATTCAAAAGAGAGGAGCTGGTTCTCCATGGGGTCCATGAACACCACGGACTACAAGGCACACTGTGCCATGTGCTCCAATATTGGTCTCAAGATTGGTTGAAAGTTTCTGTGGAAAAGCGCTTCTTAAAAACCGCGGTAGACACCTGCTGGACAACAGTTGTTACGAATTGAAGTTGAGATCAACGGCACCCTCAAAAATATGCATGCACATAAGTAAGGAGTACAGTGTCACAATAACCTCGATCAGAAGATACCGCGATCAGGAGTTGGGAGATTGGTACGCCCTCGCAACTTTATGCCTCCCCACACCATATCGAATGGGCTACCAGAACAAATAGGTTGGTCCTAGGTGCATTACATGTTCCTATTCTCAGCGCACATGCAGATAAGTCCAAAATCACCACTTACATTCAATTTGATCTTAACTGAGAAGAACACGCGATTATTCAAATCAGTGGTCCATCGCCCAATGTTCCTATGTCCCTGACAGCCTAAGCACATGTTTCCCGCATGCGCGGGTTTCGAAGGAACACCAGGTACTGTTGTTCGGTTCAAAGGGACTATCCCTACGCTGTCACTGTGCTACTGTTCAGGATGGGATTACACGTGCCTTACAATCCTGATAAATGGTTTTGCAACTGCAGCTTGCGACTGACGTGGGTCCATTTTTGCCTGTTGCAAAAATTAGCAATCACATGCTGTTGCGTTTTATCGTGATCCACCACCTACTCTTCTAGGGGCAGCAGTGACTGCAGTCCATATTGCCTCCGTATCGCACTAAACAATGGTGTGAACAGTATTAGACTCCTGGCCCGCACTCGTTGCAAATCTTCCTTCTTTCAGCTTCCTGGTGATTCTTCCTCGCGGGAATTCACCCTAGTCTCTGTACACCCGCCTCTGCTCAGGCCTACTTTGACGCCCATGACTATGAGACTTATAGCATTATGCTTGCACAGTTTTCTCCAATTCCATCGAATTGTCAATAAGTTAGGTCGATTTATCCATCTCGTCCTTAAGTTTCGCACATTAGTGTGGTAAGGTGGTTCAGTAGGTAAAGAAGTAGAGCCTCCAGGTCTTTAGCTTGAGGGGCCTCAGGGACGTGATCATTAGATCAAATCACTCCAAGGAGCCATAAAAGGCCAGATGCGCCGCCAACCTCCTCAATCCTTACTAATGATTACAGTGCAAAGGCTCCGCGGGAGAATGGTCATGACCGCGGCTAATACCAAAGGTTTGAGGTAACTAGAAGAACTTTCCGCAACTGGGTGATAAAGGTAAGTGTGAGTGACAAAAGAGAGATTTCGTGGTTTTGTCACAAGAAATGAATGAAGCCACCACACGGCCATTCCTCCAGGACAAGACCATTTACTAGCCATCTCATCAGAAGTTAATCGAAAATAACACTTTCTCAACAAAACTTGACTCGGTGGCCCAATCGGCCAGTTCTGCATAGAAAAATCGTGACAACTGTAGTGTAAGATCCCTGTTTCCCGGGCATTCTATGTGCTCATTGAAATTGATAAAATCACCTCAGGAGGCGCAAATCGATGTCGGTGCCATAGAATTGCATGGTTGCTAAATATAATACTGGTTAAATTCCTTGCATATCTCCCTTACATCTCCGTGATACCAGCTACCTAATTGTTAAACTTCGGACACCAAGTTGGAAGAAGGGAACGTGACGGATTCTTTGACGCCGTCTCATTATACACAAATGCGTTCAGTGAGCGTGCTATGGAGACCGTATTTGGCTAGTGAGTCAATGGAAGACTTGACCAGTGACGTGTAATATTTATTACTACGTTTAGTACAAGAATCGACCATAATAATACATTCACGGGGTTTATATACACAATATGTGGGCGGTCCTCAGATATCGTACCGTCGCTGGACCGTAGGGGGCCAGCGGTGGTACTCAAGTTTGGGGGATGAAAGAGCGGACCGCGCCAACGGCAGAACCTACTTGATTGCACACTTATGATACCGCCGGGTCATGCCTGCGGTATCATCTCAAGAGATACTCATATCAAGTTATGCCTATGGTTAATAAGTTGAACTAGCATGTTATCAATCATTTCGTATGAATCCTAGTTTTATTGGGAGTTATAGGTTGCGTATTATAGATTGTGCGATTGGGGAATTTGGGCGATGATGTTGGGATTTCGACGTCTATATGGACGCTCTTGATTCCTCGTGGGGTTTGGTGAGAGTCGTGTTCGCTCTCTTTCACCTCTGTCTTGCGTGTTAGGAGCAAACCTTACGTTATTACACGATGGGCTTTGAAAGCACGGGTCAAATTGATAGAACTGCTTAGGAATCGAAACTGTTATATTGTACGGGTTGGGCATTAGGATAATAGTTGCGGTTAGTACGGAAATATGATGTTGAAAACGCAGGAGATCTATTAGGAACTATTGCGTCAATGGCCCTCTCAATTTCTCCTACAAGCAGATCTTCTTCTAGAACAGGATAGCTTTTTTATATCATACATTCACTCCGCGTTCCGTCGTAGTGTTTCGTAGTTGCTGGAAAGAGGACCAAGAAGTTTAAGCTTTT